TCTCTTGTCTTTAGTTCAATTCAAAATGCACCTTGAAGGATGTATAATGCCAAGAGTATAATGAGCATGTCATTGTAACAGGTGAGGGCATATGTGCATAGATGATACATGTAATCATGTGTATGACTAACATGTCAAATGATGGAATTTTGACCATGCAGTACGTGTGTTGTGTATTGATAGCAGGCATTTGCAAAATTTTTCATCAAATATAAAAAAAACAAAAATTTATATATCTAAAAATAAATACAATATAGTTAATACAAAAGGTACATCATGCATGCATGCAGTGTTTTTAATGAAATTTTTGTTAAAATTTATAAATTACTGCTTTTCTCCCCTATATAGGCCTTAACTCATTAAAAATCAAGGCTGCAATAAACTTTAATTTTTAAAATCAAATTTTGCATGCATTCCATAACAATTTTTTTTGTGATACTTACATTGGGTGCTTTTTCATTTTTGTAAGGTGTTAACGTTTGCTAATAAGGTGTTGTTTATAATGTAGCCTGCCACCTTGCTGTTAACACCTAATTGGATGTATAGCAATAAATATAGTGTTGAAATTGCATGTTAAAAATGGAGTGTTGTATATTCAGTTTCAGGGGTGTATGATTTAAGCGGGCTGTGAAGCACCTCAAAAGGTGTTGATAATACACTCTATTATTTACAGTGTACTGCAAATATATGTCTACATGGTAACGACATGGCATGAAAAATGACACATGAGCATTTCATAAAACCAATAATACATTCCCCTTCTGAAGTGTTAACAAGAAAGTCATCACTCTCTCCAAATTCCTTATTTTATTAACTTTATCCATTAGTTCCAGTTGTTTCTGCACAAACAAAAATGCATAAGAGGTTAACAAACCAGAGTATTGGCATTTTGCGCTTGGTTCCTAGAAGGGAAATACATGTACTTTCTGTAAAAAAAGTGCTGCCTTGTGATCCCGTTCGGTTCTTAATGCTGTGATAATTTTAAAGAAATTCCTAACAAATTCTTTCAATGAGCTTTTTCTAGAAATAACTTGTTTTAACTTGCCATTCAGGGCTTCAAGTCAATTATTTGTAGTATTAATAAAGGATCCACCCACAAACTTCATGCCTAGTACCTGTTCTTTCCTGACTGCATGTCAATTGTTGTCAAAATATTTTACAACTTCCTTTGGGGCGTCATCTTTAAACTGCATGTAAAGGGCATCATACTGAGATTCAGAATAAGCATGAGCCATTTTTTGTAACAGTTCCAGACATACTGTTCGATGAGCAGATGAGATCCCTAATTTATCACACGTCACTTCTCATCAAAATGTATGCAGCGAATGAAACGAACGGATTAAAATAGTTGCATCAGGAAGACATTTCTTCAAAATACTTCGTTCTGCGTATCTTTATCAGCCATTATTACACGCACTTTACTCCAAGATGGATTTCATTTCTTCAAAGCATCCAGCATTCACTTAACACATTCAGCATCTTCTAAGGTCAAAAGGCACACAGCTACTACTTCACTTTGCCCATTGGAATCTTCACTTAAAAATACATATGCAGGAAACCCAAGTTGCAATAATTTGCATGTAGCATCTACACACAAAAGCTGAGGATATGCTTCAAATGTATTTAGCATTATTTGATTTTGGAAAAATATTCCTTTTCAAACCTTATCTGCATCAGAAAATATCTCTACTGAAGCACCTATTAAGCATTAAAATTACTACTCACAAAAGTTAAAATAGTATCGTCTGTACCATATTAATCTTGTAACAAGTTTACAGTGGCATCTAAGTTGTTATGAGTTTCAGATTTTTTTGACAAGGATGCTATGTTTCACAAATCCTTCAAGAGAATGACCATGCCTGTATCTTATATCAATTCATGTAGCAAAAGCTTCTTGTTCACCCTCATCTCTATTAAAATGGATGCTTTTTTCTTGTGCTCCCTCTGAAAGTGCTCTTTTTTGAGGGAGGTGCTTAAATAGTTGCTATAATTAACATTATATATATCATTGTAAGAATGCATCATTGAAATAAAATACCTCAGAAACAGCATGGACATGTTCATTGTTCATGAACTTCACTTCAAGAGCCATTCCATCACCACTTACTCGTAAGGTAATATGTACAGGACAATCTTGTTTGAAGGTATTATAAACGAATGAAACTCAATATTAACTTTTCAATGAAATTCAGTCAGTATGTATACAGTTTTCTCTCAATAAACCTTTTGCAACGAATGGTCTAATTAACGCGCACCTCCCAACTGGATGAAAATGGCGGATTTTTTGGTGAACAGCCAGGCTGAACATTTTCTTCTTTTATCAAGTCATCCTTACTGTAGGAGCTACTTTGAGCTCTCTTTTTGTTTCATCACACTCTATTTATTTCTCCTGTAAGCTCTTTGGTTGTTGTTTTGGCTTTTATAGCAGTTTTTCGTAGGCCTATTCTCATCCTTTGCCAATTCCCGTTTTGGTAAATTTTGCTTTCAGGAGCCAAGGCGCTTGCCCCTCCATTGCTATGAAGACAGAAGTGTATTCAACTGAGTCCTATGACTAATGTCTATCATCAGACTTAGTCTCAGTTCATCAGGACAAGGTACGGTGGAATAACTCACTCAGTTGTCATGTTGCAGCTGGAGTGTGGATGATTATGACCATCTTTTCACTTAAAAAAACTTTAGGAT